ACACACACACACACACACACACACACACACACACATGTGCATCTTCTATTATATTGCCTATCTATACCTCGCTTGTTTCATGGATGGTTTTTGTTGATCATCTGTGGATGGAATGAGGAAAGAGTCTGGGGTTCTTTGACACTGCGTTTGACCCTTGTTGAAAGGGTTCTTTGACCCTTGTGGAAAGGGTTCTTTGACCCTTGTTGACAGGGTAATTTGACCCTTGTCCCTTGTTGAAAGGGTTCTTTGACCCTTGTTGACAGGGTAATTTGACCCTTGTTGAAAGGGTTCTTTGACCAGGGTTCTTTGACCCTTGTTGACAGGGTAATTTGACCCTTGTCCCTTGTTGAAAGGGTTCTTTGACCCTTGTTGACAGTGTAATTTGACCCTTGTTGAAAGGGTTCTTTGACCCCACAGGCAACAAGACTACAAGCGGCACATAGCAGCAGGCAACAACTCAGCGAAGCACCATGCAATGCTTCCGGGGCAGCCCATCTGCACAACACCAAAGGTGACTTCATGGTAGGACAACTTCATGGTAGGACAGTGTCAGCGGACGGGTAGTGAGGCATCAACACAGCGAGGCACACGGTGCCGCTGCCAAAGCAGTGCCAAACCACACGCTATGCGAGCTAAGTGACGGGGGAAGACAAGGCACGTGGATGGGCAGGAAGGCAACAGCACTTCGAAGCACAAGGCAACACCAACAACGCAGCCAAACTGGACGGCAAACACACCAATTGCTGCCGAGAGGGACATGGGAAGCAAGCGGGACGGGCAGCAAGGCACCCGAAAGTGCCGACAAGGAAGCCCACACCCTCAACATGTGCCAAACCCAGCCATGACCCACTCACACCCCAAGTGCAACCCTGGAGACTTCATTACTTCCTACTACCTGCTGAGCCAGGAATCCACTCTGATGGACGCCTATCATCGCCGATAAGACCATTTGCATGACAGACGACATCAGGAACAAGTGCGGACGCGGCAGGTTTTGAGTTCGCAGAGGCAAATGAAAAACATGCGCGGGCAAAACAAACAGTGGGGGAATTCGGTATGGCAATGAAAGTAGGAATCGATCCGTTGGCCCTTTTTTTTCTTTTCCCCCCCTTTCCCGTCTGACACCACAGCTCACCTCTGTAGTTATGCTACCTGTGTCTCTGTCACGGCCGCGGTACTTTCATTGCCTTTTCAAACTCGGCGGCTGTTTTCTTTGCCCGCATGTGTTTTTTTTTGCCCATTTGAAACTCTGTTCTGACAAAAATGTAACCCCCCCCCCCCCCCCCCCCCCCCCCCCCCCCCCCCCCCTCCCCCCGCCCCGGAAAAACCAGGCCCATCTGCAATCCATCTGTGGTTTGTCGTGTGGTTTTTATAGACGCGATCTCAGTGCCTTTTATATCTTCCCACTTCCCAAGATCGCCGTAAACATGTAGAGAGATGCCCCTGCAAATGCAAGTCTGCATCTGGGGTGCTTTTTTTCCCTCTTTTTTTTTCTTTTTCTTTTCCTTTTTTGCAACCTTGGTGGGGGCAAAACCGTGCAATATTTAACAGTCAACGACATCTGAAGAGAGCAATTTTCGGAACAGATGGTTAACTCCTGGTTAAGGTTGTTTACGAGAGACTTGTCTGCCAAAAAAAAAGAAAAAGAAGAAGAGACCCATCTGCAAGGTCCATCACCTGCTGCGGATAATGTGGTGGTGGTGGGGGGCCGGGGGGGAGGGGGTCCCCGCCACTCAGGTT